AACCGCTTCTCCTTGGGTTATGTTGTGAGAGAGTCCCAGTTACTTACCCTTTCCTCTTATTCTTCCCTTATATTTCCTCTTAATTAGTTTTTCAACATGTTCTTAAAAAAATATTGCAGTTATATGTTACTATTCCAGTTACTAGTCTTCCCCCCCTACCATTGTAAATATACTCTCAAGTTTATCCCTTTGTATATAGTTCATATTCCATATTCAAAAAAAAAAAAAAGCCTGGGTCTCTGGGTTTTAAAAAGTATGAGGCGTGTCGGGAGGCCATGCCGGCCTCAGACTGACATTCTACCTGTATACGCTTCTTGGTGGAAGCTCATGTGCTGCAAAAGTACCCCCACTGCAGCAAGTTAATGGCCCGAGTCTGCCGCAACAGAGAGATGAGGCTTCGTATGATTTTATTTGACAAGGCCCTTTGGCCTGACTGATCAGCCTCTCCTACGCCCTAACAGGCTAAAAAACGATGTGCTTCTCCATCACTTTCCCCAAGGAGATCTTATACTCCCTCCCCTTCTCCAAGATCCAATTACTGGAGGGAATACAGAAGACCTCACACATGCAGGTGTTCTCCCTCATATAGTAATTATTACCACCATGATGACCGACACAGACATTGTTCGCCTTGCAGACACTCCTCTCATTATAGATCCAGATTTCGCCCATGGTCAACATATGGGAGTGCATCCCCTGAACATTCCCCTGCTCCACCTTCCTCGGTTCTAGAACAGAACCCAGTGTCTCCTCATCCTCCTCCCTCCAACACTGCCCAAGAGCAGCCCACTGCAGTGGAAGCACAGCCACCTGATATATCTCCTACTGATCATTCCTCTTCGTCATCTGATGAAGCAGTTATCCCGGGAGATGCCTCACCCCCTGATGATTTAAAACAATTTCAGGAGTTGTTCAAGAGGGTGGTGGTTAGTCAAGAGCTACAGTTGTCAGAGATTAAAGAAAAACAACATTGCCTCTTTAAGAATCTCTAAACTTCCCAGTCTTCTAAGCTGTCTATCCTGCTTGATGAAGCCATATTGGAAGTTGCAGATAAGATCTGGCAAACTCCTGCAGCCGCCTTACCTACCAACAAGAGGGCAGATAAAAAGTATGTTTGCCACCAAAGAGGTCTGAATTTTTATTCATTCACCCTCAACCCAGGAGATGCAGCACAACAAAGGGCGAAAACACCTCAGTATCGGAACTACACATTAGACAAAGATGTCAAAAGACTTGATTTATTTTGCAGAAAGGTTTACATGTCATCTACACTTCTCCTTCACATAGCAAATTATTTAGTTTGTACCACAATTATACCAAGTTGACACCACTTATGGAATCACTCCCAGAGTCCAAGAGATCTGTTTTGAGGGCTGACGTACAAGAAGGGTACGCCTCCACTAGGGCTGGTCTGCAGATAGCGATGGATATCGTAGATACGGTAGCAAGAACAACAGCTATAGCCGTGGTCATGAAACGGGCGTCTTACCTCTAATCCGCAGGAGTTCCTAAAGATTTACAAAATAAAGTAGAGGATTTACCCTTCAATTAAGATAAACTATTCACAAAGAAGACAGACACCATCCTCCACTCCAGCAATGACTCCAGAGCAACACTGTGTACGTTGGGGATGTATACCCCATCATATAAAAGGAGACGATACACCCCCTTCCAAAGGAGATATGATTATGCCCACACTAGACAACAGTGGCATCAACCTCAAAACACATTTGACTAATCCTGTCACATCAGAGACCTCAGAGGCATCAAAATCAAACTAACTGTACCCAGGGCCAGCCTAATAACAAGCAGCAGGTTTGACTCCTCTGTTGAGGGCATGCAAACAGTCACACACATTTGTCCATCCCAGTCTCCTACCCACTTATTCCATCATCGTCTGCACCCATTCTATCACCACTGGGCCGCCATCACCTCTGACAAGTGGGTGTTGGAAATAATATAGCATGGATACATGATCTCTTTTCTCTCCATCCCCCCCCACAACTCCACCAACCCTGTCTCTCTTCAGGGACCCCTCTCATGAGAACCTGCTATACACCGTCAACCATCTCCTATCCATAGGTGCAGTAGAAAGAGTCCGACAGGAGTTCAGAGGGAGAGGATTTTACTCTCATTATTTCCTAGTACAAAAGAAGATGGGAGGATGGAGACCCATATTGGATCTCAGGAGAATAAACAAATATGTCAGAAAACAAAGATTCAAGATGATAACTCTAGCATCTATAATACCTTCCTTGGATCTAGGCAACTGGTTTGCTGTCCTCGACCTCCAGGATGCTTACTTTCATGTCACCATTCATCCTGTGCACAGGAGATTTCTCTGTTTTACAATCGGCACAGATCATTTCCAATACTGAGTCCTGCTGTTCGGATTATCTACCGCCTCCAGGGTGTTTACCAAAACACTGGCAGTAGTTGCCGCTCATTTGCAAAGGAAAGGGGTAATAATATTCCCTTATCTCGACGACTGTCTCATAAAGGGCAAATCATCAGCAGAGGTTTCCCAGATGTCGACAGTCACCATAGAAACACTGCAAATGCTAGGGCTCCTCATCAACCAACAAAAGTCAACGTTCCAACACACTTAGGAGTTGGAATTTATTGGAGCCCGTCTTGATGCCATTACTGCAAGGGCTTATCACAACAGAGGTGATGGAGGGGAAACACAGGCTCCATCTGCACAAGCAGTATTGTTTGCTGTCCAACCAACTGAAATGAAGACTACCACCAGCTCCCTGAAGTGATAGTAGCTGATATCACTCTTCTGAGGGTAACAGAGGTGGCAAGGGAACAGATCCTGCGAGCCTCCAAGTACAGGCTGGGTCTTTATGCTGCCATGCTGTGTACTGTGGTGATGCCACTTGAATTAATACAATCTGCTTGTAAATGTCTCTGTTTCTGTGGTTGAATTGGAGCTGTGCCTACATAGCCTCTTCTCTCCACAATCCTAAAAGATCCACTTCTTCCTTGTACATTGGCTTAGGAGTGCATTTGGAGTGCAGAGCAGTCATGATAGGTTGAGTAGGTGAGTACTCCATGCCAAAAAAAAAAGGAAATGGTTTCAAAAGATCCTGGTCATTTAACAGGTGAGGATCCTTTCCTGTGTACCTAGCTGCTATGCAGCAGAGGTGAAAACATATATCAGAGGGGTCACAGTGGAGCTTTGTGGTAAACCTTAGGCCAGTTAAGTTGATGTAAGAAACGTAGTGTCTACACCGCCTCAGTGTGGACCTAACAGCATTGAATTAAGCTCTCTGCCTCTTATGGAGGTGGAATAATTAAGTCAATGCAGCAGGTGAGGTACGTCGGTGGAAGGGCCCTGATAGTATAGGCACATGCATTATTAGGTTGATGTAAGGCAGCTTACGTTGACCTAACTGTAGTGTAGTGTAGACCAGGCCTTAATATGCAAACAGTCCATTATAGCAAATCCTAATTCTTACCATTTAATAAAGCAGAAAACAAAAAAGCTTGTTTAAATAAAATAATGTCCATGTCTGTAGTTTCTGATTTGCACTTATAAGGGCAAGGTGACAGAGGTACTGTGTGAAAATCTGACCATAAGTCATACCTGCTATGCCTAGATATTGGAGCACCGTGTATGGTTTAGTGAAGTGAGGCAGAGCATAGAAGCATGTCTAACTCTATCTCATCGCTTGTTTCACTGAAATCAGATTCATAGACCCTATTTTTGCAATGTACTGCAACTGTGTGGAGTGCCATTGAAGTTGGTGGAGTTCTGTACAGGTGTAAGGGGTCTACCCAAGTGTAGTAGGATCAAGGCCTTAGTGGTTACACAGCTGAAATGCTGTACTGATGTCTTGCCCTTGCTACTTTCTTTTAAACAAGAGCAATTTGTGTTTTTTTTCTTTAATATTTTGAATAAACCGAAAAACTGCTTGCCCTCATATTGTATGTACAAGCTCTATTCAAAAAGGACTAGTTGTATGGCAGAGTCCAGTTCTTTGGTAAGCAAAGGGCACATGTCATCTGACTAAACTTTGGGTATCCTTGCCTCTCACACCTCCCACTGTACAATACAGGAGAAAGGGCAGACTTTCCCCTACAAGGATTCATGTTATAATATCTGTAAAAACACCCTAGTTTTCTGAAAAAAAAAAAAAAATCTCACAAGACTGGAACATATTAGGCTTCCCCCCTTTTCTTATCATGTGGTGAGGTATGTCCTGTGAAAATTAAGACATAGTGATTAGGTTAAGTGACTGGGAGCCAAGAAATTTTTGAATTCTAAGCCTAACTTAGCTGCTGATTTGTTACATAGTCTTTGGAAAGTCATTGAACCTCCCTGTAAAATGGAAATAATCATCATTGCTTCTGTGAGAGACAGTAGGAAAATGTGAGGATTGATTAATTAGTTAATTTATGTAGACCACTTTGAGAAAATGAGTGCTAAATACTGTATTTTCCCTTTTAAATACCATCACCCTTTTCTATAGAGAATTTCTCTCTGCTGAGAGAGACTAGCAGAAATCTCTCCCTCCAGGCCTGTCAAGGCCACTCCATCAGTCAACATGAGGAATTCTGAAGAGAAACTCAAGGCCCAATCCTAAAAGGTATTTAAATCACTGGAAGTTGAGTTTGCTCACTATCTCAGGATCAGGCCTTTAATGAGCTTTTTTCACACTTCTGTGTGTCTCTGCTGGCCTGAGAACTGCTTCTTTTCAAATTAGGTTTTAGTGCTTTCCATGAAGGGGGAACTGTTGTAACAAAAGATACCTCTCATCATGCAAAGCAATCTGTTACACCACTTCATGGATAGCAGATTACTACAGGGTTTGGTTTTGTGTTTCTTTTTCTTTTTATATAATACACGTAATGCATCCGAATATGTCATTCAGGAACAAAAGTGATAGCCTATTTAGTGTATTAATATCTCCATAAAAATTACATTGTAGACCTTGATTGCATGGTCAGTGGCTAAGTGTTTCAGTGCTTCATTGCTCCTGTTCCTGTTATAGGTACATGTGACAGCATTGCAGCTATGAGTGGAATTTTAAAGAGGAAATTTGAAGAAGTTGATGGCTCTTCACCCTGCTCCTCCGTACGAGAATCTGATGATGACATTTCTAGCAGTGAAAGTGCTGACAGTGGCGATAGTGTCAATCCATCCACTTCTAATCATTTTACCCGTAAGTACTAAAGTTGTGAATATAAGAAACATTGTTTTGCTCTAAAAGAACTACCATATCATATGGCATAATAATGATTATTAATTAATAAATTCCTAGCACTTATACAACACTTTTCAGTAGTTCTCTAAAAATTTACAGAAGAGCCCAGTTTTGTTATTACTGTTTTGCAGATGGGAAAGCTTAGGCATAGAGGGAGACAGTGACTTGCCCAACATCACTGTGATGGTCCCCAGTTCACAGTCACCAAGTAGGCTCAGGCATTTTTTCATTCACTTTAATATCTCTGTATAATACTTTTGTGTGATTTTAACCAATATAGGAACATAAGAAATAGGAAGGAACTTTTCGGGTCGTTGAATACAGTACCCTGCAACTGCAGGCAAGCATTATAGAGTCAAGCTGCTTAAAACATAACATTTGGCTTAGGTCAGTAACCTCCAGATTTGCAATACAGGTTGGACTTCCCTGGTCCATCACCGTTGGGTCCTAACTGGTCCCGGACTAAGGAGTTTGCCAGACTGGGGAGTTCAGGCCTCTGGGCTCTCAGGACGGGGGAAAGCACTAGTCTCCTAGCTGGGCTCTCCTTCTGAGACACAGGGTCCTGTACCTCCACATCCCTGCTGCCCCGTGGGCTCTTCTGCCCCACCGGCCCCACCTGCTATGTCAGCTCTGCTGCCCCGCCAGCTCTGGTGGCCCTGTCTTCTCTGCAGGCTCTGCTGCCCTATAAGCTCCGGTGGTCTCACCAAATCTGTAGACTCTATTGCCCTGTAGACTCAGCTGCCCTGCAGGTTTCAGGGCCCTGGAAGCTCTACTGCCCTGCTCGCCCTATCGGTTGGTTCCACTCCCAGTCACTGGAAACCTCTGTCACTGAGGCTCTTTGGTCGAGGGGCTTTCTGGTCCAGCAACATCTGTAGTCCAGATTAGAGAGAGGTTCAATTTGTACTTAGATGTATTTTACAGTTGGTATCCCAGGGGGATAATTTCAGAAATTACTGCAAATCCTATCTTGTTTTGGATAAAATTTGCAAGTTTTTAAGGGCCATATTCTGTGGAGCCGGTGTCATGAAATACAGTTCTTAGTATCATTGTCTCTAATGTAGCATGTATAATAGTTTCTTTTACAACCAGAATGGTCACACTTTAAAGGGCTTACTAAAATATGCTGCAGATCAGATGGTGATCCTGGCAGCCACTGGTCATAACAGTAGCTTACCTGCTCCAAACAGGAATTTGCTTCTATTTAGCGAGCAAATATTTTGTGAAGATAAATATTTGCTTCAACAAGGTTAGCAATATGAGCAGATTATGTGGTTAGAATATCTGGTGAGAATAGATTTGTTTTGGCAGTGGGGTCTTGTCTGCAATGAGGGTATTTTTTAAAAATACTGAGTTGAATGTTTTAAACACTGTAGGCCTGATTCTGCAACACTCCTTTGAATAAATAGTCCCACTGGGGAAAAGTCAATTATTTAATTGGTTTACGTAATTTAAATGGAGCTACCTATATGAGTATAAGTCATAGCTTCTGATTTATTCAGGTTTTGTACATTATTCCCTTCTAGTTTACACAGGAAAAGTATGTGAAATTCTAAATTTACACACATTCTAAACTGCTATATTGAACTGTGAGGTCAGTGTGTTTATTATTCCTTTTGCACAATATGGCCTGAACCATTTCAGAATAAAGGAATGAAATATAGGAATTTACTGCATGATTTAGAGGCAGCATTTCTAGGTCTAATCAAATCTTTATTCTGATTAATTAGCAGGAAAAACTAACTTACAAGTTACTGAGAAATTTTTTGTTTTGTTTTGTTTTTAAGTGTAGATATATTACTTTATCCTGGTAAAGGCTATCCATAATATCTAGATTTGCCTCATATGCAGAAATAAAATCCATTGTATCTATTGTATCCTAGCTTTTTCAAAAAAACAACTCCATTGTATATTGGTCATGTGATATGGCACATCTTTCTGTAGAAATGTACCTGCCTTTTAAAGAAAATATAGCTTATAGATTCCTTTATGATATGGAAGAAATTATATAAGTAAAATGAAAAAAATTCCAGTTGTGTGCTCCTTATGTCCTGTCAGTGGTTATGTATACTGATCAAAAGAGATTATCAAGACTTGGTAAAATGTAATCATTCACGGAGCAGGTCAAAAGTATTTTATGCAACTAATCTGAAGAAAAATAGTGGGAGAGACGAGGTATGCACATTCTGTGCATATGTAGAGACAAAGTGACATGGGTTTTGTCTTTGCAATAGTTCTTGCAGCTCTGAATTATAATTCATCTTTTATGGTGATAGTGCTCATGTTGGCAGATTCTCATTCATGCTGGCAGGTGACAAAAATGTGCAAGTGTTTTTATGTTTTCTTCCATCCATTTTACTTCTGCTGATGTCCATCACTCATCTCATATGAACATGTGTTCGAGCTGACTAAATTAGACTTAGGAAAAGTATCCTGTTAACTCTCATCACATGCTTTCACTTTCAGCCACTTGCTCATTAGAAATATAGACACCTTTGTTATATTTTAGGTTCCATGGAACACTGGTGTGCTCTTACATCAACAATATATTTCAGATATCCAGGAATTCACTGAAAGGAAAGAGTATACTATATTATAACTACAACTATAAAAATATAACTATTTGGTTATATTTAAAACAAAATGTGGTTGAGTAATGGAGTGAGCTGTCCTGGTGCTGTTTTCAACCTACTCATAAATCTTATTACCACTGTAAAGGTGAGAACTGCTTAGTCACATTTTCTCTTTCATACCAATTATCTCAAAATTGATCAGGAAAAATAGTGGGCATAATGATTTTTTAAAATTTATCTTGTTGTCCAATTAAATTCTAATTTAATTTTAGCATAAAGATACTACAGGTTAGACCTTCTTGGTCCAGCACTCTAGACACCTAACCAGTCCCGAATGAAGGAGTTCGTCAGACCAGTGGAGATCAGTTCTGGCACCCCATCCAGCTTTGCTCCTGACCCTCAGCCCCAGCTCCACTCCCACCCCTGCTTGGGCTGCCAGCCCCGCTGCTGCCTACCCCCACCAAGCTGCTGGCCCCTGACCCTGCTCATGTCAAAGGAGCTTGTGGATGCCGTCTATAGGAATTCTAGTCAGATGTGTGAGGAAGGATCAGAAATAGGCCACATAGTTGTGGAAGACCCCCTCAGCCAATCTCCTCTTTGTGGTCTTATAAATGGCCACTTTGTCTAATGCTAGGAGGAGCAAAACAAGGTAGTCCCATGTCTTTGGGAGGCCACAGATACAGGAGAGTGGTCCTATTGGAAGCTGGGAGGTGGGCAGGCATAAGCCCATCCACATATAAGGGACTTCCCCCAGTCTATGTAGAGGTTCCACTGAGCCCAGGAAACCAACTGATTATGTGGGACAAATAAAAAGAAAAGCAAGGGCAGGTCTGAAGGTCAAAGGACCAAAACAAGGGAACCAGAATGGGACATCAAGCAGAGAGCCCTGAACAACACCCGTTGCTCCCTGAAAGCATTGAGGGAGTCGGCGAACGCTGCCCAGAGGAACTCTACCCAGGTACACGAATGGATATAGGCCCCACAGTTGCAGGTTCCCCCCAAGCAACCTCTGCTTCCTTATTTATAAATAGCCATCTTAGCCATAGCCAGGAGGAAGTTGACAAGGAAGTTGACAAGGAAGTCCTGTGACTTTGTGGGGCTCTGGATACAGGAGAGCAGTAGAAGGCAGGTACAGTAGCCCCAAAATAAACATCCTTTTTTCCTTGGTAATCAAAGAGGTTATTCCAGGTTAATTAAGACACTTGAACAAATCAATGGCTTGCCAGATCGCATTAAAAGCCTCCCCTTCGGTCATTTAGGGTGCGCAATAGGTGCTGTGGGAGGCAGGTATGCTACTGGAGAGCCAAGCAGATGCTGATGAACATCAGGAAAGAGGTGAGGAGCAGGTCAGGGCAGTAATTCATGGGGTAAAGAGCCCTACTTAACTCTGGACATTTTGGGGAAGAGCACCTCCCAGAGGGGAGAGATTGACCTCTGTGTCTGGCCTACAACCTCCATGCCCAAAGGGCTATGAGAGACTAAAAGGTTCTCCCTGTTCCTGATCTGGGAGGCCAGGAGAAACCCTTTCACAGGCAAGACAGGGGCAGTAAACCAAGGGATGAAGGGAAATTCCCAGCAAGAAAAAAATTCCCCAGTTTTCCCCTAACTGGAAATTTGGAATCCACTGAGGCAGAGGAAACCATATTGCTTATGTAACCCATGCACCTTCTGTGTGTGATACACTGTCTCGTGTAGTGGTACTTAGACTGTTTACAGAGAGAGAGAAAGTGTTTACTTTACAGCCTGAGCTGAGAGGCAGCTGGTTTTCAGCTCAAGCAATAAAGACGCATGCACTAAGCTCCAGAGGTCCCAAGTTTGATTCCATCTGTTGGCACTACACTTACACACAAGAAAATACTAAATGTTTAATATGACACTTAGAATAATAGTGTTTGTGGGATTTTATTATTCTTTACATATTTATAAATTGAATTAAATCAGACATTTTTAGCCAATAAAAATAGTAAGATATTAAGTAAAACTGGAAATAACATTAATATCCCCTACAACTTTTGGACCTAACTCTGAAACCCCCTTCTTTTGTAAGTAGTCTTCACTCTGGATCAATGATCCTGTTCCCAACTTCATGCAGATAAGCTGTTAAACCTTTTACTTTTACATTTTACTAACCTCGGGTCTATATTAGATACAGTTTTGTACTTGCTTCTCCCATCCCCCACCCCAACTGTCTCCAGCCATTGTAGCACAACTTTTGGACCTAACTCTGAAACCCCCTTCTTTTGTAAGTAGTCTTCACTCTGGATCAATGATCCTGTTCCCAACTTCATGCAGATAAGCTGTTAAACCTTTTACTTTTACATTTTACTAACCTCGGGTCTATATTAGATACAGTTTTGTACTTGCTTCTCCCATCCCCCACCCCAACTG